CTTTGCATTGTCTAATTTGTAGCCCAAGGAAGAACTTTAATTCTCCCATCATCGACATCTCAAATTCACTTTGCATCATATCGGAAAAATCCCTGCACAAAACTTCGTTAGTAGCACCGAATATGATATCATCTACGTAAACTTGAACCAAAAGGATGTCTTGGTTATCTTTCTTGATAAAAAGAGTAGTGTCGACTTGACCCCGTTTGAACTCATGGTCCAAAAGAAATTTGCTTAACCGTTCATACCAAGCACGAGGTGCTTGTTTGAGACCGTAAAGTGCCTTTTTGAGTTTGAAGACATGTTCGGGAAACTCATAGTCTTCGAAACCCGGGGGTTGTTCGACATACACTTCCTCTTGAATGATACCATTAAGGAAGGCACTTTTAACATCCATTTGGTAAAGTCTAAAATCCATTGTAGATGCAAATGCAAGCAATAAACGAATAGCTTCTAAACGTGCAACCGGTGCATAAGTTTCTTCATAATCAATGCCTTCTTCTTGATTGTAGCCTTTAGCTACAAGCCTAGATTTGTTTCTGGTGATTATACCATTTTCATCGAGTTTGTTACGAAACACCCATTTTGTGCCAATAACGGAATGATCATTAGGTCTAGGTACCAATTCCCAAACATCATTGTGTTTAAATTGGTTAAGCTCCTCTTGCATTGCCATAGACCAATGTTCATCATTAATAGCATCCAAAACGGTTGTTGGTTCAATTTGTGAGACAAAGGCCATGTGATTAATTGTGTTTCTAAGAGAATTACGAGTAGAAACTCCCTGCGTTAGATCACCAATGACATTGTCAATCGGGTGGTTCTTCAATGTTCTCCATTCCTTAGGAAGCTCCGTTTGTTCCTGCGTTTTCTCTTCTTCCGGTTCCTTTTCCTTAACGATTTCTTCTTCATCGTCATAAGAGCCTGCAACATTTTCAACAATACCTTTTCTCGCCAAGCGAGCATCAAATTCATCAAAGACAACATGAATAGACTCCTCTACGGTCTTAGTACGCTTGTTGAACACTCTATATGCCTTACTACGAAGAGAATAACCTAAGAAAATTCCTTCATCCGACTTAGCATCAAATTTTCCCAAGTTATCTTTTCCATTATTATGAATGAAAACTTTACAACCAAAGACATGAAAATAGGAGAGGTTAGGCTTTCTTTCTTTGTAAAGTTCATAGGGCGTTTTCTTGAGTATCGGTCTAATGACGGCTCGATTTAACACGTAGCACGCGGTACTCACGGCATCCGCCCAAAAGTATTTAGGAAGGTTTGCCTCATTGAGCATAGTTCTAACCATCTCTTCAAGAGACCTATTTTTCCGTTCAACCACGCCATTTTGTTGTGGTGTACGAGGGGCCGAGAAGTTATGCTCAATGCCTAATTCGTCACATAAGGCATCAAAGCCATCTTGATCGAATTCTCCCCCATGATCACTTCTTATGGATGAAATGTGACAATCTTTTTCATTTTGAACCAATTTAATGAATTTCTTAAAAGCATTAAGTGCATCATACTTATGAGCAAGAAAGAGTGTCCATGTAAACCTCGAATAGTCATCAACGATAACAAATCCAAAGTAATTACCTCCTAAGCTCATAGTTCTTGAAGGTCCAAAAAGGTCCATGTGCAAAAGTTGTAATGGCCTAGTCGTAGAAAAACCGTTCATTGACTTAAACGAGGCCCTTACTTGCTTCCCTTTTTGACATGCATCACAAACTAGATTCTTCTCAAACTTAAGTTTAGGAACACCAATTACTAAGTCTTTTGAAACCAACTTATTAAGATGGTCCATATTAACGTGAGCTATTCGACGATGCCATAGCCATGTTTCTTCCTCTTTGGTAATGAGACACTTAGCTAAAGTAGACGGGGAATTTTCAAGATCAAACATGTAAATGTTATCTACTCTACTACCACAAAGAATAGTCTTATTGTCACACAAGCGTTCTACAATGCATTTTCTAGAATAAAAAATGACACGGTTACCTTTATCGCACAATTGGCTAATGCTAAGAAGATTGTGCTTGAGGCCCTCAACAAGAAGAACATTCTCAACGGTTGTAGCATTGTCCTTTCCGACGGTGCCACTTCCAATGATTCTTCCTTTGTTGTTGTCACCAAAAACGACATTGCCACCTTTGAAATACTCTAAACTCCTAAATTTGGATGCGTCTCCGGTCATGTGCTTAGAGCATCCGCTATCGAGATACCAAGAGGTACTCGAAGCCTTCAAGCACACCTACAAAAAGATATCAAGGAGACGGTTTAGGTACCCATATATTGTTGGGTCCTTTTTGGTTAGCATATGTGCGATGTGTGTGCGTTTGTTGAAAATGCCTAATTTTGGTGAAGCACACGGGTGCAATGTGACCTATCTTATTGCAATAGTGGCAAATAACATTTGGATTATTCATCCTATATGGTTGAGTGTAATGAGTTCTAGGTTTGCTAGGATGTGCTTTTCTAGTTTGATTATTAATCCTAGCATTTTTATTCCCCCTAGCTTTAACAAATGTTGTTTTTCTAGGTTGGTTTTTCTTATATCCAAGTCCTTCACCATTACTAATTTTTTGCTTAAGTATTTTATCTAAGGTGTTTGAGGCATTATTGAACTTTCCCAATTTGCTCTCCAAACTAGCAACCTTAGCTTTTAGTGATGTACAACTAGAGCATGTAGAAGAAGAAGTAGTTGAAGGTTCTTGTGGCCTTTTTCCAAAAGAGATAATTTCTTGTTTAAGTTAATAATTTATATTTTTGAGTTCTTTGATTTCATTCTCAAAAATAAGGTTTTTTTGCTTTACTTCATTGTTTTCTTTGGAGGCCTTTTTGAACATTCTTACCAAATCTTCTACAATGCAAACAACATCATTAAGAGTTAAAGGATCATTGGGAGAAGGTTCTTGATCACTTACTTTTTTTGATGCATCACCATCTTCAATGGCCATGAGACACAAGTTGTCCACTTCTTCTGTTTCTGAGTCTTCACTCCCGGAGCCGTCGTTCTCCCAAGAAATTTAAGCACGCTGCTTCTTTGGTGTCTTTTTGTCCTTCTCGTTCTTGAGCTTGGGGCACATTGCTTTGATGTGTCCAACTTCACCACACCCATAGCATTTGGGTGAAGTTTTCTTCTTGGCTCCCTTCTTGAGCATCATCTTCTTGAATTTTCGGACAAAGAGTCCGAGGTCGGTGTCGTCGCTGTCATCATCTTCATCATCAACGTTGTTGTGGGTTGATGTTGTTGCGGGTAGAGCAATAGACCTTTTGTTCCTTTCTTCAACCACCTTTGAAAGTTGAGTGGTTTCATAGGTAATAAGATTACCTCGAAGAGCATCATAGGTCGTTGTTTGGAAGTCACGACCTTCTTCGATTGCGTCCACCTTTGAGCGCCATTTAGAAGATAGGCTTCGCAGCACCTTTCTCACGAGCTCTCGGTCGGTGTATGTCTTCCCGAGAAGATTGAGGGGATTGATGATCTTAGAGAATCTCTCAAACATTTCCTCAATCTTCTCATTTTCCTTCATTGAAAAGAGTTCATACTCGTGAGTGAGATGATCAATTTTGGCCTCCCGAACTTGTGCGGTTCCTTCGTAGGTGACCTCCAATTTCTCCCACATTTGTTTTGCGGTTTCACACCTTGAGATTTTGCGGTAGTCATCCGCGTTAACACCGCAATAAATCATGTTTATTGCCTTGGCGTTGAGCTCCATCTTTTTGCAATCTTCGTCGGTGAACTCTTCTTCGGTTTTGGGAACATTGACTTCACCGACTTTCTTCATCGGGACTCCGCAGCCGTTCTTCACAATCAACCACAGCTTGTAGTCGTTGGATTGGATAAAGATTCTCATCCTCTCCTTCCAATACGAGTAGTTTGTTCCATCGAACAATGGTGGCCTCGTGGTTGATTGTCCCTCGGTCACTCCTGCGTTGAACATTCTTGATGCCATTTGATCTTTTAGTTCCTGAAAAAATAA